GTGTTAGTTTGAAGGAGATGAGGAATAGACCCCAGGATTTTGGTTCTTGGCTCAGAGTATAGAAAGCAGGAAAACAAATAGTGAGGCAAATCCTCAATTTCCGGGCCCCCAAACACATAAACGAAGAGCCAGAGGGGTGCCCCTGTATCTGCCGTCAATCACTCCTGTAGGCATACTTTGAAAATGAAGGGCTGTGAAGACTGATAATGATGATGATATTCATAAGACGATGGTGATACCATTATCATAATACTGTGATGATAATATTAATACCATGATACCATAATCATACTTCTGTGGTGGTGATGATAATAATGTTTTCAATACCATGATGATACCATAATCATAATAATATTGTGATGAGAATAATAATAGTAATAGTATTATTATTATTATTATTATTATTATTATTATTATTATTATAGCGAATACCATAAAAACACAATCCAGAGCAGAAGAGAAAACTGGCAAAAGAAGGTTCTTCATGGACAGTTCCTGGGAAAAATTGAGAGCCAAACTGACAAAGAAAAAACATGGCTGTGGCTCACAAATGGAACTCCGAAAAAGGAGACTGAGGGACTGATTCTGGCAGCCCAAGAACAAGCCATTAGAACCAATGCCATCAAGGCCAGAATTGAAAAGTCGACAACAGGTCCCAAATGTAGACTCTGCAAGGAAGCAGATGAAACAATAGATCACATCCTCAGCTGCTGCAAGAAGATCGTGCAGACAGACTACAAGCAGAGGCACAACACTGTTGCTCAGATGATTAATTGGAACTTGTGCCACAAATACCATCTGCCTGCGACAAAGAACTGGTGGGATCACAAGCCGGAAAAAGCTACAGAGAATGAACACGTCAAGATACTCTGGGACTTTCGGATTCAGACAGACAGAGTTTTGGAGCACAATACTCCTGACCTCACGATTGTGTTAAAAAACAAAGTATGGATTATCGATGTTGCAATCCCAAGAGACAGCAGGATTAACGAGAAACAACTGGAAAAGCTGACACGATATGAGGATTTAAAGATCGAACTGCAAAGACTCTGGCACAAACCAGTAAAGGTGGTCCCAGTGGTGATCGGCACACTGGGTGCAATGCCTAAAGACCTCGACCTGCACTTAAACACAATCGGCGCTGACAAAATTACCATCTGCCAGCTGCAAAAGGCCACCTTACTGGGATCTGCACGCATTATTTGCTGATACATCACAGTCCTAGACACTTGGGAAGTGTCCGACGTGTAATCCAATGCAACAGCCAGCAGAGTGTCTGCTGTGGACTCATCTTGCTGTGTTTCTAATAATAATAATAATAATAATAATAATAATAATAATAATAATAATAATAGTGATAATACAGGGTTGCCAAACTTTAGGTTGCAAAACAAGAATCAGGAATGTCGAACTTTACATTTTTATTATTATTACTAGCTGTCCCCTGCCACACGTTGCTGTGGCCCAATCTGGTGATCTGGAAAATAAAGTAATGAGAAAGTGTTGGTTTCTAATATATATAATGTCTTTATGCTTGTTGGTAAACAGTATTTCTTGTTGTTTCTTTGTCAGTGTTGATGTAGAGATTGTCTGGTTTGCCTACTCTGGAACATGCAACATATTATTGTCCTTCTTTAGGGGTCCCTTTGAAATCTATGATATTATATCTGTCATATACATGTGTGTGTGTGTGTGTGTGAATCAGATACATCTATCAATTTCTATGGCTGGATGGCTCTTTGTCAGGAGGGCTTTGATTTTGTTCTCTTGCCCTGGTGAAGGGAGTTGGATTGGATGGCCTTAAGGCAGTATTTCTCAACCTGGGTGTTGGGACCCCCAAGGGGGGGCATGAAGGGGTGTCAGAAGGGTCACCAAAGACCATCAGAAAACACAGTATTTTATGTTGCTCATGGGGATTCTGTGTGAGAGGTTTGGCGCACATCTATCATTGGTGGGGTTCAGAATGCTCTTTGATTGTAGGTGAACTATAAATCCCAGTAACTACAACTCCCAAATGTCAAGGTCTATTTTTCCAAAATCCATCTGTGTTCACATTTGGGCATATGGAGTATTCATGCCAAGTTTGGTCCAGATCCATCATTGTTTGAGTCTATAGTGCTCTCTGGATGTAGGTGAACTACAACTCCCAAACTCAAAGTCAATGCCCACCAGACCCTTCCAGAATTTTCTGTTGGTTGTGGGAGTCCTGTGTGGCAAGTTGGTTCTATTCCATTATTGGTGGAGTTCAGAATGCTCTTTAGTTGTAAGTAAACTATAAATCCCAGCAACTACAACTCCCAAATGACAAAATCCTTTTTTTAGTTATGGTCACTCCTTGGGGTAATAGGTGTATTGTGTCCAAATTTGGTGGCAATTCGTCCAGTGGTTTTTGAGTTATGTTAATCCCACAAACGAACATTACATTTTTATTTATATAGACTAGCTGTCCCCTGCCACGAGTTGCTGTGGCCCAGTCTGATGATCTGGAAAATAAAGTAATGAGAAAGTGTTGGTTTCTAATATATGTAATGTCTTTCTGCTTGTGGGTAAACAGTATTTCTTGCTGTTTCTTTGTCAGTGTTGATATAGAGATTGTCTGGTTTGCCAACTCGGGAACATGCAACATATAATTGTTCTTCTTTAGTGGTCCCTTTCAAATCTATGATACTATGTGTGTGTGAATCATATCTATCTATATCTATGGCTGGATAGCCCTTTGTCAGGAGGGCTTGATTACGTTTTCTTGCCCTGGTGAAGACTGGGTTGGCCTTAAGTATTTTCTGTTGGTCATGGGGGTTCTGTGTGGGAAGTTTGCCCCAATTCTGTCATTGGTGGGGTTCAGAATGCTCTTTGATTGTAGGTGAACTATAAATCCCAGTAAATGCAACTCCCAAATGTCAAGGTCTATTTTCCCCAAACTCCATCTGTGTTCATATTTGGGCATATGGAATATTTGTGCCAAGTTTGGTCCAGATCCATCATTGTTTGAGTCCACAGTGCTCTCTAGATGTAGATCAGTGGTTCTCAACCTTCCTAATGCCACGACCCCTTAATATGCTTCCTCATGTTATGGTGACCCCCAACCATAAAATTAGTTTCGTTGCAACTTCATAACTCATTTTGCTGCTGTTATGAATAGGAACAGATTGGGGGAGGGTATTGACTTTGTCCTGTGGGAGTTGTAGTTGCTGGGATTTATAGTTCACCTACAATCAAAGAGCATTCTGAACTCCACCAACGATGGAACTGAATCAAACTTGGCACACAGAATTCCCATGACCAACAGAAAATACTGGAAGGGTTTGGTGGGCACTGACCTTGAGTTTTGGGAGTTGTAGTTTACCTACATCCAGAGAGAACTGTAGACTCAAACAATGGTGGATCTGGACCAAACTTGGCACGAATTCTCAGTATGCCCAAATGTAAACACTAGTAGAGTTTGGGGAAAATAGACCTTGACATTTGGGAGTTGTAGTTGCTGGGATTTATAGTTCACCTACAATCAAAGAGCATTCGAACCCTACCAAGGATTGAATTGGGCCAAACTTTCCAAGGTTGCAGGTTCGATTCCGGGGAGCGGCGTGAGCTTCCGCTGTCAGCCATAGCTTCTGCCAACCTAGCAGTTCGAAAACATGCAAATGTGAGTAGATCAATAGGTACCGCTCCGGCAGGAAGGTAACGGGCTCCATGCAGTCATGCCGGCCACATGACCTTGGAGGTGTCTACGGACAACGCTGGCTCTTCGGCTTGGAAATGGAGATGAGCACCACACCCCAGAGTCAGACATGACTGGACTTAATGTCAGGGGACTACCTTTACCTTTACCTATGGCACACAGAAGTCCCACGACAAACGGAAAATATATATCAGTGATTGGTTGGGGTGCCACAATACTGTTTGCTTACCATTGAAAATTACCTAGGGCCGCCTCTGCCTGTAAGTCAGTAATGATTTAATGCAGCTGGCTCCCAGCTAGCTGCACCACAACACAGCTATGCCACAACCTATACTAAACGAAACCCCCCCAAACTTGAATTTTCCACAGCACTCTTGGATGTAGGTGAACTACAACTCCCAAACTAAGGTCAATGCCACCAAACCCTAGTGTTTCTGTTGGTCATGGGAGTCTGTGTGCCATTTTGGTTCAGTTCCATCATTGGTGGAATTCAGAATGCTCTTTGATTGTAGGTGAACTATAAATCCTAGCAACTACAACTCCCAAATGTCAAGGTCTATTTCCCCCAAACTCCATCTGTTTTCATATTTGGGCATATGGAGTATTCGTGCCAAGTTTGGTCCATTGTTTGAGTACACAGCACTCTCTGGATGTAGGTGAACTACAACTCCTAAACTCAAAGGCAATGCCCACCAAACCCTTCTAGTGTTTTCTGTTTGTAATGGGAGTCCTGTGTGCTACATTTGGCTCAGTTCCATCATTGGTGGAGTTCAGAATACTCTTTGATTGTAGGTAAACTATAAATCCCAGCAACTACAACTCCCAAATGACAAAATCAATTTTTTGAGTGAAGGACATACATTGGGTTGTTAGGTGTCTTGTGTCCAAATCTGGTGTCAATTCGTCCAGTGGTTTTTGAGTTCTGATAATCCCACAAACTAACATTACATTGGGTTGTTGTAGGTTTTTTCGGGCTATATGGCCATGTTCTAGAGGCATTTTCTCCTGACGTTTCGCCTGCATCTATGGCAAGCATCCTCAGAGGTAGTGAGGTAACATTACATTTTTATTTATATAGATTATTATTTGTAACTCAAAGTGTGACATCCCACATTGCACCACATTCTGTGGATACACAACAGCTTATTTCTCCAGTGTAGGGTTTCAAAGCCTTTCAGAAATCCAAAGGGCAGCGCTGCTTGGGCTCCAAGACCTCTCTGAAGGTACACAGCACCCAGAAACAAGCCCAGCAAGCCGTGCATGGGAGCCGAGGAGGTTGCTTCCTCCAGGGAAGCCTCCAGGCCTTTCAGGGGGCACCATTTACCTGATTCGGAGGCGTCGGCGCTGCTGCTGCCGCTTCGAGAGAGGAGCCCCAGCGCCAGGAGCCACCCCGCGAACCACATCTCGGCGGAAGGAGGGCTCTGGCGCGCGGGCTCTAACCCGGAGAAGGAGAGGCGCGAGGCCTCATTTCATGGCCGCGCGCAGCCTACGACAAGACCGCCACTACCACAACCCCTCCTGCGCGCGCCTCCCTTTCACAAAGGGCGCGCCGCCCTTCCGGAGCTTAACCCGCTCCTCGCCGCTGAAGTTCTGCATCTCGAGGAACCTCAAAGCCCTGGGCAGCCTCGCGCCTTTCAGCGCCTCACTGCCTTCCCAAGGGCGCCATACAGTCTGTTGGAACTAGGCAAAACAGAGAGGAAGTAGGCAGGGACATCTAATTACCTCTCAACAAAAGTTTGCTCCAGTCACAGTCAGGCCATTGTATGCTAATCAAGGTGGTCAGTTGAAACATTCACACCTAGCTCCGGCAGACAAGAGTCCGTTGTCTCACCCTGGTCATTCCACAGATATATAAACCCCTTTTTCCTAGTTCCAACAGACCTCACTACCTCTGAGGATGCTTGCCATAGATGCAGGCGAAATGTCAGGAGAGAATGCCTCTAGACCAGTGTTTCTCAACCTGGGGGTCAGGACCCCTGGAGGGGTCGCCAGGGGGTGTCAGAGGAGTCACCACAGGCAATCAGAAAACACAGTATTTTCTGTTGGTCATGGGTTCTCTGTGGGAAGTTTGGCCCAATTTTATCATTGGTGGTGTTCAGAATGCTCTTTGATTGTAGGTGAACTATAAATCCCAGCAACTACAACTCTATAATGTCAAGGTCTGTTTTCCCCAAACTCCACCAGGGTTCACATTTGGGCATATTGAGTATTCTTGCCAAATTTGGTCCAGATCCATCATTGTTTGAGTCCACAGTGCTCTCTGGGTGTAGGTGAACTACAACTCCAAAATTCAAGATCATTGCCCACCAAACCCTTGTAGTATTTTCTGTTGGTCATGGGAGTTCTGTATGCCAAGATCGGTTCAATTCCATCGTTGGTGGAGTTCAGAATGCTCTTTGATTGTAGGTGAACTATAAATCCCAGCAACTACAACTCCAAAATGACAAAATCAATCCCCCCAACCTCACCAGGATTCAAATTTGGGCATATTGAGTATTTGTGTCAAATTTGGTCCAGTGAATGAAAGTGCATCCTGCATATCAGATATTTACATTACAATTCGTAAGAGTAGCAAAATTACAGTTATGAAGTAGCAACAAATATAATTTTATGGTTAGGGGTCACCACAACATGAGGAACTGTATTAAGGGGTCACGGCAGTAGGAAGGTTGAGAAAAACTGCCCTAAACGGTTTGGGACCCGCCTACCTGCGTGACCGCATCTCCGTATATGAACCCACACGATCTCTCCAGTCATCTGGAGAGGCCCTGCTCACAATTCCACCTGCGTTGCAAGCGCTATTGGTGGGGACGAGTGACAGGGCCTTCTCCGTTGTGGCCCCGACTCTGGCACTCTCCCCCCAGGACATCAGACAAGCCCCAACGTTGGCAGTCTTTAGGAAGAGCTTGAAGATGTGGTTGTTCCAGTGTGCCTTTCCAGAATAGGAAACTCCAAGCATCATGTCCCAAATGCACTTTACTAGAGATTTAAGATTGTCTGCACACCGCACCTATCTCCAAAAACCTATCCATTTCACCTGTCATGTCCAGCATTTTTTAAATTTTTAATCATTACATTTGGCCCGGCCTTAGTTTTTGCATCTATGGCAAGCATCCTCAGAGGTAGTGAGGTCTGTTGGAACTAGGCAAAACAGAGAGGAAGCAGGCAAGGACATCTAATTACCTCTCAACAAAAGTTTGCTCAAGACACAGTCAGGCCATTGTATGCTAATCAAGGTGGTCAGTTGAAACATTCACACCTAGCTCCAGCAGACAAGAGTCCGTTGTCTCACCCTGGTCAATACACAGATAGATAAACCCTTTTTCCTAGTTCCAACAGACCTCATTACCTCTGAGGATGCTTGCCATAGGTGCAGGCGAAACATCAGAAGAGAATGCCTCTAGACCATGGCCATATAGCCCGAAAAAAACTACAACAACCCAAAGGTTTGTATACATTAGCAAGCCAAGGTTTCACTGTCTCAGCCCAAAATGTAGACAATTTGGGCTTTGGGGTATAGCAATTTGGATAAGAGATGCTCAGCTCAAACTGATCGGCTATTTATTTATCGTGTCATCAGCAACCATTGTATTACAATTCTAACAGAGCAAAACAAACACACAGATTAAAAAGAAAAAGGAAAAAAAACACACAGATTTTGCAAATTTGGTATTTGGTTAAATGTCCTTTGACCAGTATCTGGCCACTTGGAGTGCCTCTGGTGTTGCCGCAAGAAGGTCCTCCATTGTGCATGTGGCAGGGCTCAGGTTGCATTGCAGCAGGTGGTCAGTGGTTTGTTCTTCTCCACTCGCATGCCGAGGATTCCACCCTGTAGCCCCATTTCTTAAGATTGGCTCTGCATCTCGTGGTGCCAGAGCGCAATCTGTTCAGCGCCTTCCAAGTCGCCCAGTCTTCTGAGTGCCCAGGGGGGAGTCTCTCATCTGGTATCACCCATGGATTGAGGTTCTGGGTTTGGGCCTGCCACTTTTGGACTCTTGCTTGCTGGGGTGTTCCAGCGAGTGTCTCTGTAGATCTAAGAAAACTATTTCTTGATTTAAGTCATTGACGTGCTGGCTGATACCCAAACAAGGGATGAGCTGGAGATGTCCTGCCTTGGTCCTTTCACTATTGGCTGCTACTTCCCGGCGGATGTCAGGTGGTGCAATACCGTAAGCAGTGTAATTTCTCCAGTGGTGTGGGGCGCAGACACCGTGTGATAATGCGGCATGTCTCATTAGAGAGCCACATCTACTGTTTTAGTGTGGTGAGATGTGTTCCACACTGGGCATGCGTACTCAGCAGCAGAGTAGCATAGCACAAGGGCAGATGTCTTCACTGTGTCTGGTTGTGATCCCCAGGTTGTGCCAGTCAGCTTTCGTATGATGTTGTTTCTAGCACCCACTTTTTGCTTGATGTTCAGGAGTGCTTCTTGTAGGTCAGAGCACGGTCCAAAGTGACTCCCAGGTATTTGGGTGTGTTGCAATGCTCGGCTACGACTCTGGAAACCAGGGTCTGAATCCCTGCTAGACTGGGTGCCTCAGAGGAAGGCAAAGGTAAACACTGGAAAGGCCTGAAGGGACTGCATTCCTTTGCAAGAAGGAGGTTTTTCCCATCCAACAGAGGGCGGAGTTGAAAGAATCCCATTCGTCACCCACAGAATCAATACTTTACAACCTTCCGGATTGGACCAGCGCGTCACGATGTTGCTTAGCAACGCTTCCTCCCGCCCTTTCCTCGGGATTGGCCGGGAGCTTCCCATTAGCTCTCGCGTGGCTTTGTGTTGGTCGCTGCTTCCAAGATGGCGGATCGCCTCACTCAGCTGCAAGACGCCGTCAATTCGGTGAGTTGACGAGGAGGATGCATGCATGCATGGGCCATTCCTCTTCCCTCTTCTCTGGAAAGTTGGAGTTGCATTTATTTTTATTGGAAGGAGAGAAAAAAGGCAATTAGCTCTAGGGATGGCTTCTACTGAGTAGAAATTGCCATTCTCTCGCCTTCTCTTAGTTCTCGTGTATCTAATTACCTCTCAACAAAAGCTTGTCCCAGGCACAGTCAGGCCATTGTATGCTAATCAAGGTTGTCTGTTGACACATTCACACCTAGCTCCAGCAGACAAGAGTCCTTTGTCTCACTCTGGTCATTCCACAGATATATAAACCCTTTTTCCTAGTTCCAACAGACCTCACTACCTCTGAGGATGCTTGCCATACATGCAGGTGAAACGTCAGGAGAGAATGCCTGTAGACCATGGTCATACAGCCCGAAAAAACCCACAAGAACCTAGTGATTCCAGCCATGAAAGCCTTCGACAATACATTTAACTTTACTCGCTTTCAGACCACATTTTGTCAAGCTGTTATTCCATCTCAACTGCTATGGCAGCACTGTATGACATCCTTGGATAGGCAGTGTTGAAGAACTTAGACGTTTTCACCAGAAAGCCTTTGGGTCTCACTGAACTTCAAACTCTCGGTTCCACAGGATGTTATTATTTATTATTATTAACTTTATTTGTTGTTGTTCATTCGTTCAGTCGTCTCCGACTCTTCGTGACCTCATGGACCAGCCCACGCCAGAGCTCACTGTCGGCCGTCACCACCCCCAGCTCCTTCAAGGTCAGTCCAGTCACTTCAAGGATGCCATCCATCCATCTTGCCCTTGGTCGGCCCCTCTTCCTTTTGCCTTCCACTTTCCCCAGCATAATTGTCTTCTCTAGGCTTTCCTGTTTCCTCATGATGTGGCCAAAGTACTTCAACTTTGTCTCTAGTATCTTTCCCTCCAGTGAGCAGTCGGGCTTTATTTCCTGGAGGATGGACTGGTTGGATCTTCTCACAGTCCAAGGCACTCTCAGAACTTTCCTCCAACACCACAGCTCAAAAGCATCGATCTTCCTTGCTCAGCCTTCCCTAAGGTCCAGCTCTCACATCCGTAGGTCTCAGTCCAGTCACTTCAAGGATGCCATCCATCCATCTTGCCCTTGGTCGGCCCCTCTTCCTTTTTCCTTCCACTTTCCCCAGCATCATTGTCTTCTCTAGGCTTTCCTGTCTCCTCATGATGTGGCCAAAGTACTTCAACTTTGTCTCTAGTATCTTTCCCTCCAGTGAGCAGTAGGGCTTTATTTCCTGGAGGATGGACTGGTTGGATCTTCTCGCAGTCCAAGGCACTCTCAGAACTTTCCTCCAACACCACAGCTCAAAAGCATCGATCTTCCTTCGCTCAGCCTTCCCTAAGGTCCAGCTCTCACATCCGTAGGTGACTACAGGGAATACCATGGCTTTGACTAGGCGGATCTTTGTTGCCAGTGTGATGTCTCTACTCTTTACGATTTTATCGAGACTGGACATTGCTCTCCTCCCAAGAAGTAAGCGTCTTCTGATTTCCTGGCCACAGTCTGCATCTGCAGTAATATTTGCACCTAGAAATACAAAGTCTGTCACGGCCTCCACATTTTCTCCCTCTATTTTCCAGTTGTCAATCATTCTTGTTGCCATAATCTTGGTTTTTTTGACGTTTAGCTGCAACCCGGCTTTTGCGCTTTCTTCTTTCACCTTGATTAGAAGGCTCCTTAGCTCCTCCTCGCTTTCGGCCATCAGAGTGGTGTCATCTTCATATCTGAGGTTGTTAATGTTTCTTCCAGCAATTTTCACCCCAGCTTTGCATTCATCAAGCCCCGCACATCGCATGATGTGTTCTGCATACAAGTTAAAAAGGTTGGGTGAGAGTATGTAGCCTTGCCGTAACTTTATTTATACCCCGCTAAAATCTCCCGAAGGACTCGATGCAGTTTACAAAGGCCAAGGCCACCAACAAAACAACAGCATACAAATACAACAGTAAAACTCATAAAGCAAATAATAAAACATCAAGCAAAACAATAAAACACTAAAAACAATGACACCATGATGCATTTAAAACCTAAGGCCAGGCCAAATGTAATGGACAAAATTTAAAAAGTACTGGACATGACAGGTGAAATGCAGAGGTTTTTGGAGGTAGGTGCAATGTGCAGACAATCCTAAATCTCTAACAAAGTGCATTTGGGACATGATGCTAGGTATTTCCTATTCTGGAAAGGCACACTGGAACAGCCAGGTCTTCGGGCTCTTCCTAAAGATTGCCAACGTTGGGGCTTGTCTGATGTCCTTGGGGAGACAGTTCCAGAGTCGGGGGGCCACTACAGAGAAGGCCCTGTCCCTCGTCCCCACCAATAGTGCTTGCGCCGCAGGTGGAATCGTGAACAGGGCCTCTCCAGGTGATCGAAGGGATCGTGTGGGTTCATATATGGAGATGCAGTCATGCAGATAGGCGGGTCCCAAACCGTTTAGGGCTTTGTAGGTGAGCACCTGCACCTTTAATTGGGACCGGAAGATGAACGGCAGCCAGTGGAGATCCTTAAATAGAAGGGTTGACCTCTCTCTGTAAGGAGCACCAGTTAACAACCTGGCTGCCGACCATTGGACCAGTTGGAATTTCCGAGCCGTTTCAAGGATGTTGCCATGGCAGCTGAAGTGGAGTGAGCGCCGTAGCCAGGTACAATGACAGGGTCCACAGTGAGTTTAGCAGAATACTTACACGATGTCACAAAATTTGAGAATTTTTCTGTTCCTAGTTTAAAAGTGATATTTCTTGTTTAATTGTGCGGTTCTTTGAAAGTAGTTGCTCTACTCCAGAAATTTAGTTTTTGTGGCTGACACAAATGATGGCCCCTTCTACACTGCCATTTATTATTATTATTTAGAACTTTTATATTCCGGTCTTCTCACCTCCAACGAGGGACTCAGGCCGGTTTACAACAAAGGGTTCATACACTGTAATTTAAAAACACCACATCAATAATACACTAATATAAACACATTAAAGTACTATCATATAATTACATAAAGTACAGTCGTTAACATAAAAATCACTATTCATCCCCATTCGTCCATGTGGTCAAAAGCCATTGCCTCACTCATCAAATGCCAGGTTCCAAAGCCAGGTTTTCACCAACTTTCTAAACGTCAGGAGGGAAGGGGCAGTTCTAATCTCCAATGGGAGAGAGTTCCAGAGCCGAGGGGCCACCACCGAGAAGGCCCTGTCCCTCGTCCCCACCAGATGCGATTGCGAAGATGGTGGGACTGAGAGCAGGGCCCCTCCAGAAGATCTTAACAACCTTGATGGTTCATAGGGGAGAGTCCGTTCGGACAGGTAAACTGGGCCAGAGTCATTTAGGGATTTATAGGTCAACACCAGCACTTTGAATTGTGCTCGGAAGCTAATTGGCAGCCAGTGGAGCTGGCGCAACAGAAGAGTGGTATGCTCCCTGTACCCCGCTCCTGTTAACAATCTGGCTGCCGCTCGTTGGAATAATTGCAGCTTCCGGGCAGTCTTCAGAGGCAACGACACGTAGAGAGCATTGCAGTAGTCTATAAGTGATGTAACCAGCGTGTGGACCACCGTGGCCAAGTCACTTCCCAGCTGGCGCAAAAGTTTTAACTGTGAAAAAGCTCCCCTGACCACCGTTGAGACCTGGGGTTCCAGGCTCAGCGATGAGTCCAGGATCACTCCCAAGCTGCGAACCTGCACCTTCAGGGGGAGTATAACCCCGTCTAGCACAGGCTGTAACCCTATGCCCTGTTCGGCCTTTCGACTGACCAGGAGTACCTCTGTCTTGTCTGGATTTAGTTTCAATCTGTTGGCCCTCATCCAGTCCGTTCCAGCGGCCAAGCACCGGTTCAGGACTTGAACAGCCTCAATGTAAAATCCAGATTATTTGCTTTGAACAGGATTATATAGCAGTGTAGACTCGGGTCCCTTTCACACAGCTGAATAAAATCCAGATTATTTGCTTTAAACTGGAATATATGGCAGTGTGGACTCAGGCAACCCAGTTCAAAGCAAATATTGTGTGATTTTCTGCCTTGATAGTCTGGGTTTTATGGCTGCATGGAAGGGCACTCATGCTCCTTCTAAACTGACGTCTAATCCAGTTTATCAAATCACATAATCCACAATATCTGCTTTGAATTGGATTATACGAGTCTACACCAACATATAATCCAGTTCAAATCAAATAATGTGAATTATCTGATTTTATAATCTGGATTATATGGCAGTGTAGAAGCAGCCTAAATTAAATTGATTCAGGTCCCATCTACATAATAATAATCATTATCATTATGATTATGTTTATTTATATCCAACCCCTTCTCCAAACAGGACTCGGGGCGGCTTGCAAAAAAGAAAACAGTACAAAAACCAAAGCAAAAATAAAACATAATTCATAAACTGCAATATCAAAAACCTAACAAAAATGCAATACAAAAACCAAGGCTTTTCATTATACATTATACTTTATACAATGTAAGCACTGTATACTACCTCTCCTACTACCTTGGAGAGGATATGATGAACAGGTTATCAAATGGAGGGGGAGGAAAATATCATGAATACACACATACAGTTGAACAATTTGTTACATCAAGTATATATACAGACACTCTACTTACTCATTGGTGGCGGCCTCCTCCTCCTCGCCACCTCCGCTGCTCCCGGCCTCTGATGCCCCTTGGGCACTCTTGATGGCATTGCCAGGCTGGGTTGAGGCCTCAACCCAGCCTGGCAGTGCCATCAACAGAGCCCAAGGGGCCTCCAAGGCGAGGAGAGTGAGGCTGGCGAGGAGGAGGAGGCCGCCACCAATGAGTAAGTAGAGTGTCTGTATATATACTTGATGTAACAAATTGTTCAACTGTATGTGTGTATTCATGATATTTTCCTCCCCCTCCATTTGATAACCTGTTCATCATATCCTCTCCAAGGTAGTAGGATATCTGTATTATTTTGGGAGCGTTTAACTGAAATTGAGTGCTTTTTAAAACTTTGTATACATTTTCTGGACACTGTGTAGATATTATCACAAAACCATGGGATACCAAACCTTTCAAACACTGTGTCTAGTTCAAGTTCCCAAGAAATGTTTAAACCTAATGGTAGACCATGATAAGAAACATTGCATTCGAACTGCATTCGAAGAACTGATAGATTTTTCAACCATCAAGAACTTTTAAACCAATATATATATTAATCAAGGACTCCACTAAAACAAGCCTATAACCTCCCAATTCTCTTTTTTTTAATCCATATTAGAAAAATCTTGATGTTTAATAAAGGGGTATATAGGAGAAGGCTATGATGGTAGCTTTTCAATCCAGTATTTGCATACAAAAAAAGCCTACAACTTTACTTCTGCATGATTGTACATCTGCATTTGTTGTGATGTACTAACCAGTAAGTAATTCTATTTGATTGCTTACAGCTTGCAGATCAGTTTTGTAATGCTATTGGAGTACTTCAGCAGTGTGCCCCACCAGCATCGTTCAGCAGTATACAAACTGCAATAAACAAGGATCAACCTACTAATCCTACAGAAGGCAAGTGAACCTTATTGTTGAATTTGAGAGGAATGGTATAAATCTAGGAGCCAAATGATTAGTAAATGTTTCAAATGAAATGTGCATCTGGATTTATATTCTGTTGTTATATTTATGAGATTTCCTAGGACAACCTGGATCACATATGCCTTAACTGTTGTAGTAGAGCCTGTTAGTAACACTGCAAGTCTGAAATATCAGCCTAAAGTCATCTAATGGGATTGAGCAGGGATTCAAACCCTTGTCTCCAGAGTACTCTTAACATTTAAACCGCTACACTATGCTGACTCTCAAAATATACGTTCAGTTTGATAAAAAATATTTTCCTGTGGATTTCAAGGATACTATTATGTCTCCTCTAGGTAGTGAAGTTACTGTTACATTAGCCATCAAGTTATTGTAAAATTAAATCATTGTGAAATTAACAGTAGAACTTAGGAGTAATTATAGATAAAGCTAATTAAGGTTTTCAGGATTGTATTTCTCAGCATTTGAAATTTTCCTTAGTCTTAATGATTGATCAACATATACTATGCATGCTTCCCCCACCCCCCAATAATTATTGTTGGATATTACTAATGAAATATACAGGCCAAACAGCTACAGATTTGTCTCAAATTAGTTCTTCAAATTTAGTCGCTTTCATTCAGTTGTTGGTACCATTAGAAATCTTATGTCAGACCTCTATGGAGATGGAATGATCAAAGTGGCATAAGATATGTTTTATTTTTGCAGAATATGCCCAACTCTTTGCTGCACTGATTGCAAGAACTGCTAAGGATATTGATGTTTTAATAGATTCCTTGCCCAGTGAAGAATCAACAGCCACATTACAGGTAGGATTATAATACGTATAATCATTTTGTTTTATGTATTGTCATCTTCCACCTTGAAGTAAAAACAATTTAGATGTTTCAGAATAACTGTGAAGCATTTTTTAAAAGGGTTTTCTGACAGCTTACCAAAACCTTACAATTAGCATGATGTTTTATTAATTTCATTGTTACCCAAAGCAGTATTGTGTGTCTAGATAGATAGCTGAAATGGAAGGGGTCATGAAAGATTAAATTATAAAAGTGACTGGCACAGAGAAGTCCACAGCGGCTGCAATCTGAATAATATATTTTTATATTAACTATGTCTTTGAAAACATCTTGAAAGTGGCATCTTGAATGTGTAATTGTGTTGGAGTTTTCCTGGGAGCAATCCCATTGAGCAGAATTTTGCTCTACATAGCTATTTGTATTAAAAGCCACTGTGTTTATATTTTTGTTGTTATTAAGGCAGTGTCATACATGAAGTCAGTATTTGACTAGCTTTTCAGAACATGCTATTGAAGAACATAACTCCTTGAAGAAAAAATATATTCCTGATGGCATTTATTCTGGTTGAATTTCTTATTTTTGTTTAACAATAAAAAAGCATTTAAATATTTAAAGTGGTATTTATTTCTTTAAATTTGCTCTGCCTTTTCACAAAATGTCAAGGAATATCTTAAAAACATCAAAAGAACAGAGCCATTATAATGTTAAAATGCAGAAACCAAAAGCAAAATTCAACAGCCATCACCAGTGTTTGCCAAAACAAAGCAGTCTAGCTGAAATTTAAGAACAGAACTCACGAGAGAGTCATCAGAATGAATCCCTGTATAAATAAACAGCTAAAATCTCTAAGGCTGCCCTCCGCCCAATAAGTTTCAAAGATGAAACAAAAGTTGATTTAGATAATCTGTAGCATCCAGGACTTGGAGCTGAGAGGCCTAGAATCTTGCCAAATGATAGAAACTGATGACTAGCCTAATTGCTGCTATTTTGCTAAAGCACCTAAACTACATCTCTTAAATCTATTCCAGTTGTAAATATTTGGAAATACATCAAAACAATTCAGCCTGTTACTGAAATAGGCAATAACACACAGCATTGCAACATGTTAAGGCATTCAATTTTCTTAAGCAATTTCAGTATAGCTCTTTTTTTCTTTCAAGTGTATATTCATTTTAGGTTCAGAAAAATCCTGGTAACATTTTTGTTCTGTTCAATGACTAGGCAGCTAGCCTGTATCGCTTGGAGGAAGAGAACCATGAGGCAGCCGCACGTCTTGAAGAGGTAGTTTATCGTGGGGATATGCTATTGGAAAAAATTCAGACTGCGTTAGCTGACATTGCTCAATCACAGCTGAAGACAAGAAGTGGCACTCATAGTCAAACAATTCAAGACTAACAGCAGCAAGTAGCCAAGCCCTGAAACAAAATGTGAACCTTTGCGAAATGGAGGCAAGGGATTGGGTGGACAAAGAAACCCAAACCATGCATCACTGAAGACCCTGAAAGATTTCTGCTGCCATGTTTAAGAGAGAAACTATACTAAGAAGTGTCGTCCTTTCATATCGTACTGTACTGGAGTGAGAAACAATTACAAATTAAACAGTTCTGGAATTTTATTTTGCAGTTATTTTTGTTAAGACCAAGCCCTGAATTCCACTACTTTTTCAGTAGGTCAGAATTTCTCACCCGGCAGTCTTGTAGAGTCACAATAAAATGCTTCAGGTAAGGAATTGTGTGTGGTTGATGTTTGTGGTAATCTTTATAGCAGAAGAACTTTGGAAATTCGGTCTTTTTGAGGTTAAGACAATCTGAGCAAATAAAACTGGTTTGCTCTACATTGGCCTTCCTTTGTCAGTGATCCGGAAACTGAAGCTGGTGCAAAATACGGCGGCTCATCTTCTCGCCAGGGTGCCGGCGAGGTGTCGTATTACCCCAATACTCCAACAGCTGCACTGGCTTCCGATTGAGTACCGGATTACTTTCAAGGTGCTGGTATTAACCTTTAAGGCCTTATATGGTCTGGGGTCGGCGTACCTGAGGACCCGCTTATTTCCCTACCAACCCCAGAGATTACTTCGGTCTGAAGACCAAAATTTGCTTGAAGTCCCCAACATCCGGACTTATCATCTGTCCTCTACCAGGCAGAGAGCCTTCTCGATTGTGGCCCCTTATTTATGGAATGCCTTGCCAGTTGAAACCCGAACCATCCGAGAGCTACTTGCTTTTCGGAAAGCCTGTAAAACCTTTCTTTTCCGACAAGCTTTTGATGGGTGAATAACTCGGGACTATGTCTGTTCTCGTTTTTATTGTATTTTAAAGTTGGTTTTATTGTTTTGATCTGCTGTAAACCGCTCCGAGCCAAATTGGGAGTGGCGGTATACAAGTCAAATAAATATATAAATATATCTTGTCTTTACCTTTAGTGGAATAAGAACTATTTCCCCCCCAAAATTCCATAAATGTGCATTTTGGGAAATGACATGCATTGGCAGAACAAGAAAAGAAAAAGAAGCAGAACATTCGACAATTAAAATTTACAGTTTGAGAGGCTTAGAAGATCACGAAGGTCTTCCAATGCTGAGATTGTTGCAAACTAAGAACTAAGCAGAGGGTGTTGTATAAAGAAATTGTGTTTGAAAGCAGATCCACCCAAGTCAAAGCATTTGTACCCATTTTGGGGAACATCTTTTAAACTGAATACAACAGATAGAATTGTATTCAGCCATGTAATTTTATATGAACTGTTTTCCAATTTATACATTTCTGTGTCCTGTAAAAATATATAGGCATTTGGAATACTGTTTTCCCAAACTGCATTACAACAAAGAAATTATAAGTTTTGATGTCTAACTCCACTTTACTTTATGATCAGGTTTAGAAAGGGCAACTTTTGAAAGCTCAAATTTAAATGCATTTCTCAACAATCATCCTTTCCACCTGTACTTTATGTGAATTTTCTATTTGACAGTAGAAAAGTTCTAGAAAAGACAATGCCTGTTTGCAACTATATGCATACAGGAAAAAGGAATCAAGGAGAAAACTGAATCAATTTATAGTGATGTATCTAATATGAATGAAAGTATTTCTCTTCTAAAGAAGCTGCAAGTGAAAAGTATCCAGATGCATCACTGAAGTCCCATAAAGATATACGTTGCCATGCTTAGTGGAGAAGCTTTACCCTTTTATATCATAATGAGAGGCAATCACAATTGTAAAGTTTTTGGAGTTTTATTTTGCAGTTGTATTTTTGGCTGAGCCCTACTTTCACTGCTTTGTCAGTAGATCATAATTTATCATCCACCAAGCAGCCTCATATAGTCACAATTTTTAAGGAGCTTCAGGTAAGAATTGTGTGTGATTGATGTATGTGGTAGTATATGTGCTTTGCATGAAAAGGCTTTCTACACATCATCCCAGGTAGCACACAGTAGCTGTGGGGTGAGATATCCCAGCTGGGGACAGTAGAAGGAGAGGTGAGGGTAGATGGAATAAGCAAAGCTGCGCTCCTCCCAAGGTAATGTGAGCTGGCAATGGCTGCGAAAATAGTGATAGGAAGCTGTGCCCCTCCATCACGCTGAGGACTGTTTTTCCCTTGGGAAAGAAAAGCAGAAGAGCAAAAACATTCTAGAAATAATTAATATACCGTATATACTCGAATATAAGCTGAGTTTTTCAGCCTTTTTTTCAGACTGAAAAACCTCCCCTCGGTTTATATTTGGGTCAGGGAACGACGGAGGAGGAGGGAAAGGCAAGCCTTCCTCGGCAGCGGCAGAGGAGAAGGAAGCCCCTGTGGCAGGCTTTTCTGCAGGCTTGTTCTCCTTCCTGGTCCCATGCACGGCGGTGGCGGTGACAGCGGCAGGAGGAAGCAGAAAAGCCGCGCATGGGGGGGAGGGGAAAGTGCTCACCACTCCCCTTCCTCTCTTGCCGCGCACGCACCTTCTTCCTTGTCCCATGTGCGGCCACGGTGGAGGGGGCAGCAGCGGGAGGACGCAGGAAAGCCACACATGGGGCGAGGGGCAAGTGCACGCCACTCCCCTTCCCCTTCCTCTCTTGCCGCGCGCGCACCTTTTTCGGTGGCAGAGGCAGGAAATACGCGAGAGAGAGAAGGGAAAGGTGCGCGCCTTTCTCTCCCATGCCCTGTGCACGCCTTTACCGCCGCTGCTGAGGAAGATGCAGCGGCCTTTCTCTCCTCCCATGCCCTGTGCACGCCTTTACCACCGCTGCCAGGGAAGACACAGTGGCGGTAAAGGCGCGCATAGGGCATGGGAGGAGAGAAAGGCGCGCACCACGGCCGTGCATGGGACCAGGAAGAAGGAGAGCAAGCCTGCGGAAAAGCCTGCCGCAGGGGCTTCCTTCTCTGCTGCAGCCGAGGAAAGCTTGTGCTCCACGAGGGGGGGAGGGAATGACAGAAAGACTGGGTGGTCATCTGTCAAACTGACCAGTAGCGGCTGCATTTTTCACCCTCGGCTTATACTCGAGTCAATAAGATTTTCCAGTTTTTTGTGGTAAAATTAGGTGCCTCGGCTTATATTCGGGTCGGCTTATATTCGAGTATATACGGTAAGTGACATATAAGTGACAAGTAATTTGCAATTAGGAATGGTCGCAGTGCTCCCTTTTTAGTTATGGGAATGATGAATATAGTTCTGGGAGTGGGGGGAAAAACAGAGGCTCATATACTTCCACATGGTAGATCTAACTTTAGCTAAATCAAGTGAACAAAGGAAATGTAAGCTGTAATCTTTATACAAGTAGTTCTTTGGAAATTTGGTCTTTCTGAAGTTTGGGTTAAGTCAGTCCAAACAAATGAAGTGTGGACTGGCTTAAATCTTGTCTTGGCATTTAGTAGAATAATAACCTTTTTTTTCCAAAATGCAGTAAATGTCATGAGAAATAAAAGCTGTGTTGTAGGGACAAGCAAGCCCCAAAGATTAAAAAAATAGCACCAACACATTAAACAATTAAGATTTACTATATAAAAGGCCTGGGGAATTACAAAGGTCTTTATCTAATGCTGAGAATATTACAAAATGTGTGTTCTCTACATGTTAATTCAGATTTATTGTGCCACAAAAATGCAGTTTCTGTAACAGGTTGTAGTCCTTATTTTCAGGTGAATGAAGTCTTCAACCGCTTGAGCCTTTAAAAGAACTGCTTGAAGAAATCTTGCTGTCCCTTTTAGTTGTCAGTGGCTATGACAAACTTCTCATTCTGGGATTGAAAAACAAAAAATAAAGGGAAATAACAGGTCAGCATATTATTTATTATTATTTAGTAACTTTATTTGTACCCCACTACCATCTCCCCAAGGGACTCGGTGCGGCTTACATGAGGCCGAGCCCAAACACAACAATAAAAGCAATAAAACATCAATACAAGCAATTTAAAAACATAGACAAAAATACACAACATTATAAAAAAAAACTTCCTCATCTTGGAAACATTTAACTTAATGACCTTTCACACTAAAGTTATGACCTGCTTACATAAGAATAAAATCTGAAGAATTGGGCACTGGTTTGACATCTATTATTTAGCAGATTTTAATATCATCCTGTCTGTAGAAACTAAATTGCACTATTAATTTAGCTGCAAACAAGAAATTGTTTTACTATTTTGTATGTTTCCTAACGTGTCATAAAATGTCCTCCCCTGCTAGGGATCACTTAGTTATACTCAGGGCCTTCCACATTGCCATATAAACCAGAATATCAAGGCAGATAATCCAAAGTTTCTGCTTTGAACTGGATTATCTGAGTCACACTGTCAAATAATCCAGTTCAATGTGGATTTTATACATCTGTGTGGAAGGGGCTTCAGATTCTCATTTTCCCACATATAAATCCATTCTATCCTAGCTTTTCATTGGATTACAGCATTTTGGTTTACATAATTCATCTTTTATTTTCCTAAAGATACACATTTTTCAAACAACATTTTGTAGACATTGTCAAAGGCTTTCATGACCAGAATCACTGGGTGGTTGTAGGTTTTTTCGGGCTATATGGCCATGGTCTAGAGGCATTCTCTCCTGACGTTTTGCTTGCATCTATGGCAAGCATCCTCAGAGGTAGTGAGGTGACAGTTTTGTAGACATTTTGTAGACAGTTTTTCAACTGTGCCCATATTTAAAGAAAGCTTTTGAACTGAATAAAGTAAATGCTTAGATCCAAAGATGTATCCAAAGATGCCATTTAATTTGCATTAATTCCCGATGTGCACATTTTGGGTGTACCCTAAGTGCATCTGGAATTCCATTTCCCCCAAACTGCATTAAAAGCATTACAGGTTTTATGTCTAACTCCACTCTACTTCATGATCAGGTTTAGAAAATGCACATTTTGGAAGCTCAAATTGAAAAATTGTTTAATGTATTTATTACCAATCATTCTTTCCACCTGTGTATTGTGTGGATTTTCTCTGACAGTTAAAAAAAGTTAAAGAACAAAGGCAATTGGGGTGTGTGCATTATTCCCTGGAAGGGGGAAAACAACCTATTTTATTTTACTGTGGTGACAGGAAGCTGATTTTATCCCACTGAACTAATAATCTACAGAGCCATTGCCTGGACCTTCAGAATATTCTTCACTTTGAGATTGCACCTTGTTTGGTTATCTTCACAAACTATCTTGGCACAGTTACTCATTTTAAAGTGGTAGAGTAGTGCTTTATTGCTGAAATCAGATCTTTTTCTTATTCATAATCATTAATTTTTGCATGAGGGTAGCTCAAAATATAATGCTCCACAGTTTGATCAAAATACGAGGGGTATTTTTTAGGTAAGGTGCGTTTTGTTGTAGACACTAGTAATTAGCATGCATACTGCATGTGTGGTTCGCTCAGTGATACGGTTTTTGTCAGCAAGGAACCTGCCTGCTGCAGAAATTCATCGACAGGTTTGTGAAGTGTACGGTGATACTGTTATAAGTGAGAGCAAAGTGCGTAAGTGGGTATGACAATTCATAGATGGCCGTGACAACGTCCATGATGAGGACCGCTCCAGTCGCCCTTCTTTGATTACAGACGATTTGGTGGCTTCAGTTGAAGCAAGCGAACCTCACATGTGGAGGGTGAGTTGATAGTCTTAAACATTTTTAAAGCACAGAACGGAACCATACAGGTTAGCTACAGAGCGGAAACTGAGCACAGTTGTTCCCGAGGCATGCCAGTACACGATGCACACGCTCGTTGCGGTATGCGTGCGAACTACTAGTGTCTACAACAAAACGGACCTTACTTAAAAAATACCTCTCGTATATTTTTCTGACAAAATCAGTGCTACTTCTTTTATGTGTACTATTTCATCATTATCATATTTAATTACTTATTAATCGCCCTCCATTTTTCTACATAGTCTCCCTCAACTTGTCCAACCTTACACCAGCATGGAACAAGAACATGTTCCTCACTGGTACCATGCCTACCCTGTACAATGCATATCCACTTCCTCTCAACTGTGGGGGAATAGGTTCATTCTCCCACATGTGGTGCGATTGTAGAAACATTCAGAACTATTATAGTAAAATAAGAAATGTAATGGAAGAAATAATAGGGAAAGAATTAATGTGTGATAATGGCAGATTCATGTATCTCACAATAAAGGCAAGGGAAGATAACAATTGGGCAGAAACCCTAAAATATATAACAGCCCCAATACAGGCCATGCTAGCCCGAGAATGGAGAGACAATACAAGATGGGATTTAGAAACTTTGGGCTTACCTATCGGAATATATAATCAATGAGTTCATCACAGATGTTTACGGATGTTCATAACACATTTGTTTTCATGAACCAAGAAATCAGTTACAGCTCATTACTTGTAAAAATAGTTTGCAACAGCCACCATTTTCACAGTTCATTACAATTCCCCAGTCTATTGGAATGACTCTGTAGCCATGGGAGAAACATCAGATTTCAAACATTCAAAAGTACACTTTTCTATCTTTGTTAGTGACTGACTTTGGCTGTTTAAAGATAACACTCACCAGTTTGCGTACTCATTGATTTCAGCTAGCCATCTTTTGATCTGTTTCACAAAATCAGGATCCACATTAAAGTTGAATCTCTCTGCCTTAAAGAATTAGTACAAGGTAAGGCACTGCATCACAACATGTCTTATTCAGAACTTCTCCTGCTTCCCCCCGCTTTCCCCCTGCCCATCTGATGAGGTCCCTAACCAGCATAGCCAATAGTGTTGGCTCATGGGAAATGCAGTCCAGTTACTGTCCGAACGTATCTCCTTCTATGTCCCACCTCAGAGTTTAAGATCTTCTGGGAAGGCCCTGCTCTTGGCCCCGCCTCTATCACAAGTGAGGCTGGTAGGGACGAGGGACAGGGCCTTCTCAGTGGTGGCCCCTCGCCTGTGGAACTCACTCCCCGGGGAAATTAGATCATCAACATCCCTCTACTTTAGAAGGAAGCTGAAAACATGGATATGGGACCAGGCCTTTGAGTAATCTGGCAGATTGACTGACAAGGTAATGACTACCAGAATTTTGGGAAGGAGTATGGCAATGCTGAATGGACTTACGGATTTTAGAACTCGGTGAACGTTGGCCACAAGATTGGCTTTTTAGTTGTTATTGAATGTTTTAATTATTGTGGTTATTGTTGTCATGTATTTTATCTGCTGAATTGTTGGCATCGAATTGTGCCGGTTGTAAGTCCCCCTAGGGGGTTGAGAAGGGCTGGGTAGAAGTGCCCGAAATAAATAATAATAATAATAATAATAATAATAATAATAATAATAATAATAATTCAGCATAAAAAGCCAGAAGAGGGGGGAAATGTGGCAGCACTTTTAAAAGTGGTTTGTTTTTATTTTAGCACAATCTCCCTCCTTTTATGATGCCAGAGATTTAATGTGGCTAATTCTTTGCAAGTTATTTCTAGGGAGCAGTATCTGCCAGGGAGACCCTCCTCCCGCTTCCACCACAGTCACAAACAGAAATGGTGGGGATTAGGGAGAGGGGCTTTTCGGTGGTGCCCCCCCCCCCCCCGACTTCGGAGCACCCTCCCTAGGGAGATTAGGCAAACCCCCACACTGTCCTTTCACAGAGATTGGAAAACTTGGATATTCCAGCAAGCATTTGAGAACCTCTAGTTCCTATTTATAAATGCCCACTCCCTAGGTTGCCCGATAGTACTCTGTTTTGCACTCCATCCACTTCCCCAGCCTTATAGTACACTGTTTGCACTATCCCTTGCCCAGCCCTTCGGGGAGATGGTGGTGGGGTATAAGAATAAAATTATTATATTATTATTATTATTTCCCCACCTGTGATGGAATACCTTTAGGATTTCAAAAAGTTTGAGTATATTCTCAGAAATCTGTATCTACACCCTGATATTTTCTGATATTTTCCTCACATGTCCCCTGTCTCAGGAATAAGCCTGAGACAACAGTGGCTTGCTGAAGGTCATATAACATGTATGATCTTTGTAATAGAAAGGTCTTTGGTCTTTTTTTTTTTTTTTGTCGTGTCAGGAGCGGCCTGAGAAACTGCAAGTCGCTCCTGTTGTGAGAGAATTGGCCGTCTGCAAGGACGTTGCCCAGGGGACGCCTGGATGATTTGATGTTTTTATCATCCTTGTGGGAGGCTTCTCTCATGTCCCCGCATGAGGAGCTGGAGCTGATAGAAGGAGCTCATCCGCCTCTCCCTGGATTCGAACCTGTGACCTGTCGGTCTTCAGTCCTGCCGGCACAGAGCTTTAACCCACTGTGCCACCGGGGTCTTTGGTCTGATCCAATGGGACTCATCTTATGTTTATGTCTGCTCATATTGTGGCCAGACAGATACCTACAGAAGCCCAAAACAGGCCCTGTGTTCTGCAGTAGTCTACCATTCGTATTTCCAAACAACTGGGATTCAGAAATGTAACATCTCCAATCCTGGAAGTAAGCTATAGTAGCCATGACTGGTGTATGTTTGAGCCATGGATATCCAAGCTGACAAATCCTAGGTGTTTAGAAGTGAGTTCATAAAGTACAATTGGATTGATACCACATATGTGGTTAGGATTGCACCACGACGCCTGGCTCGAGAGCAGTACGTGTGAAAAAGATCTTGGCGTCCTCGTGGACAACAAGTTAAACATGAGCCAACAATGTGATGTGGCGGCAAAAAAAGCCAATGGGATTTTGGCCTGCATCAATAGGAGCATAGTGTCTAGATCTAGGGAAGTAATGCTACCCCTCTATTCTGCTTTGGTTAGACCACACCTGGAATATTGTGTCCAATTCTAGGCACCACAATTGAAGAGAGATATTGACAAGCTGGAATGTGTCCAGAGGAGGGCGACTAAAATGATCAAGGGTCTGGAGAACAAGCCCTATGAGGAGCGGCTTAAGGAGCTGGGCATGTTTAGCCTGAAGAAGAGAAGGCTGAGAGGAGATATGATAGCCATGTATAAATATGTGAGAGGAAGCCACAGGGAGGAGGGAGCAAGCTTGTTTTCTGCTTCCTTGGAGACTTGGACGCGGAACAATGGCTTCAAACTACAAGAGAGGAGATTCCATCTGAACATGAGGAAGAACTTCCTGACTGTGAGAGCCGTTCAGCAGTGGAACTCTCTGCCCCGGAGTGTGGTGGAGGCTCCTTCTTTGGAAGCTTTTAAGCAGAGGCTGGATGGCCATTTGTCAGGGGTGGTTTGAATGCAATATTCCTGCTTCTTGGCAGGGGGTTGGACTGGATGGCCCGTGAGGTCTCTTCCAACTCTTTGATTCTATGATTCTATGAGAAAGATTAGTAATTTAAGTTCTAGGAAATTTGCAGGCCATGGGAAATTTCCCATTGTAATTTATCATTAAGTCTGAATGAAGCCCAAGCACAAAATAAGATGCAAGGTAGACGTACCTGCCTTGATATAGCAACATTGTATCTCATCAATGTGACGAAGTGCTCACAGTTGGCTCTCCCAGGATCATACTTTATGACTTTGCCCACCATGTGCTCAGCTCTTTTTACCACATGTTCTGGAGGCAATGGATAATGGACTTTATCATATTTGTTGTTTACTGCATAGGTCAATACCGGTGAGACATCCTTCACTTTTGCTTTTCGTACTTTAAACCTCAGTGGAAAAACATTAACAGCTGTAAATACAAGATGTGAGATGTTTGGTTTATGAAAGGATTAGTAAACACATTTTTCTTGTCAACTGATACATAGCTATATCAACAAATGAAAATAATTTGTTTGGGTAATTTTAAAGAATGGGAGTGTGCCACCTTGACTTTTTAACTTCAGCAGGGGCTACAACTTACGTCTTACAACTTACACCACCAAATTTACCACTGTAGCAACCCCCATAAATAGCAATTTCTGGGTAAAACAAGTTATGTGGGACATTTTCCGAATGAGTCATATCTCTAAGATTGAGATGCAGTTGGGGAAACAAGCATGAATCTTATTATATTATTTGAGAACACATATTATTTGAGAACACAGAAATGCTGGACCACACCAACAACCACCATGTCAGACTACACAGAGAAGCCATTGAAATCCACAAGCATGTGGACAATTTCAACAGAAAGGAGAAGACCATGAAAATGAACAAAATCTGGCTACCAGTATTAAAAAACTCTAAAATTACAACAGCAAAACAGCAGAGAGGAAGCAACCAGGCACATCTTAACACCTCTCAACAGAAAATTTTCCCAGGCTCAGCCAAGTCTTCAAATGCTAATGAAGGTTGTCAGTTGAAACATTCACACCTAGCTCCAGCAGAGAAGAGCTCTTTGCCCCACCCCAGCCATTCCACAGATATATAAACCTATTTTCCTATTTCCAACAGACCTCACTACCTCTGAGGATGCTTGCCATAGATGCAGGCGAAACGTCAGGAGAAATGCCTCTAGAACATGGCCCTATAGCCTGAAAAAACCTACAAGAACCTAGTGATTCCAGCCATGAAAGCCTTCGACAATACATGAATCTACTGTGATTAATGTTTAAGCTATATATTTGAACTGATGTAGCCTGAATGCTGTCACCTGCAGCATTCAGTGAATTGTCACAATATAGCAATTATAAAAATGAAAATAGAAATGATGTTATTGTTTTTCAAAGTTTGCTTTAACTCAGTACCAAACTGGCAATCTGATTCCTTCTCTTAACATCTCACACTATTATGCTCCATCCATGTTCAACATCTACACAAATGACCAGCCACTGCCAGAAGGGACAGAGAGTTTCATCTATGCTGATGATCGTGCCATCACCGCTCAAGCAGGGAGCTTTGAGATGGTAGAACAGAAGCTCTCCGAAGCTCTAGGTGCTCTTACTGCCTATTACAGGGAAAACCAGCTGATCCCCAACCGATCTAAAACACAGACATGTGCCTTTCACCTTAAGAACAGACAAACATCCCGAGCTCTGAGGATTACCTGGGAAGGAATCCTACTGGAGCACTGCAGTGCACCCAAATACCTGGGAGTCACTCTGGACCATGCTCTTACTTACAATAAGCACTGCCTGAATATCAAGCAAAAAGTGGGTGCTAGAAACAATATAATACAAAAGCTGACTGGCACAACCTGGGGATCACAGCCAGACACAGTGAAGACATCTGCCCTTGCGCTGTGCTATTCTGCAGCTGAGTACGCATGCCCAGAGTGGAACACATCTCACCACACTAAAACAGTGGATGTGGCTCTTAATGAGACCTGCCGCATTATCACGGGGTGTCTGCGCCCTACACCACTGGAGAAATTACACTGCTTAGTCGGTATTGCACCACCTGACATCTGCTGGGAAGTAGCAGCCAATAGTGAAAGGACCAAGGCAGAGACATCTCCAGCTCATCCCCTATTTGGGTATCAGCCAGCACGTCAGCTACTTAAATCTAGAAATAGTCTTCTAAGATCTACAGAGACACTCGCTGGAACACCTCAGCAAGCGAGAGTCCAAAAGTGGCAAGCTCAAACCCAGAATCTCAATCAATGGCTGATATTTATTTATTTATTATTTATTTGATACCAAATGAGAGACTCCCCCCTGGGCACACAGAAAACCGGGCGACTTAGAAGGCGCTGAACAGACTGCGCTCTGGCACCACGAGATGCAGAGCCAACCTCAAGAAATGGGGCTACAAAGTGGAATCCACGACATGTGAGTGTGGAGATGAGCAAACCACTGACCACCTGCTGCAATGCACCCTGAGCCCTGCCACTTGCACAATGGAGGACCTTCTTGCAGCAAAGCCAGAAGCACTCCAAGTGACCAGATACTGGTCAAAGGACATTTAATCAACTACCAAACTCACAAATTTTGTATTTTGTTTGTTTGCTTTGTTCTGTTAGAAATGTAATATAATTGACTGGCTGCCCCGACACGACAAATAAAATACTATTATGCTCATGTTTTTGTGTATTTATATCTACTTTTCTCTCCTCTTCCTCCTCTTATATTACCTGGCAATGCAAAATGAACCACATCTCCATTTCCGACATAGATGCCCCAATGTTGGAATAAAGGCATCTGAAACTGAATCATATCGCCAAGCTTTGGAATATCTTTATTGCGAAAAACATGAACGACATCGTCCTTTATATCATGTATCCCATCCTGTATCCAAAAAGAAAGAAAAAAGAATGATTAATTCAGAGAGAAGATGGCAAAATGGTATTCATCATACTTTAGAGGACTGTTCTCATGAAGACTAAATATGGTTTGGTGGAAGTTTGCCCTGGTTTTCATCAATAAAGGGCTAAGTAACCTCCCAAACAATGCTGATCCCCTAACATCTGAAATTAAATTGTGTTTTTCTGCTAGTGCTCATCACACATCACACAGCACCGGGATTGTAGCGCAGCTGGCTGAGTGTCAGCTGCATTAAGATCACTTGGACCAAAAGGTCATGAGTTCGAAGCCAGCCCGGGTTGGAGTGAGTTTCCAACCAATTGTGTAGTCTGTTGTCGACCTTTGCAACCCGAAAGACAGTTGCATCTATCAAGTAGGAAAATAAGGTACCACCTTAAAGTGTGGGGAGGCTAAATTAACTAATTTATCAGGCCATTAAAAAAGACTCCAGCAAGCACTCCAACAAAAAAAAAAAGCATGCGGGGAATGTGGAAGTACTTCATCAGTGTCGCAGATGGACGATGAAAGCGACAGCTCCCCTGGTGGCTAGAAAAAGTTAAATAGCCTCTGTCTATGTCTGTATATGTTGTATGTCAAAATAGGCATTGAATGTTTGCCATATATGTGTACACTGTAATCCGCCCTGAGTCCCCTGCAGGGTGAGAAGGGCGGAATATAAAAGCTGTAAATAAATAAATAAATCTTGAAAGATGTTGCCTCTTCCTCCAGTTTTTCTTTAGAGGTTGAGTTCAAACATTCAAGTACAGGTTCTATTCTGTTCATCTTCCTCCATGGAAGAGAGTCAGGCAACTATGTTGATCCATATCAACAACCAGTTCTTGCAGTTTGTACTAAGAGGAAGTCTTTTGTAAAACCAGTCCTTCAAGACCAAGGCACCTCAAAATACTTTCCATTACAAAAGGGAGAAATTACAATATTTTTTTCTTGTTGGATGTGTATGCCCGGGGAAGGGGAGGGGGTGATTTTTTTTTTTAAAAAAAACTCATTTTATTAAGTAGCAAATTCATAAAAACATAACAACAACATCAAACAAACTACAAGAACAGGTCAAAACAAAAATTAACATTAAAATTAAAGAAAAGAGGAAAATCAGAAATAAAGAAAAACTATACTTCTTACTTTTCTAGTAGCAAAGTAAATTTAAAAATGTATTTAATTGTGTGAGAGAGATAGTTTTCAAAATCCAGAGAAAATATTTCATTTAAACTTCCTCAAAAATATAAGAAATGGCTTCCAGTGTTCTATAAAATGATCTGACGGCCTTCTCAGTGTCTAGATCTAAGGAAGTAATGCTACCCCTTTATTCCGCTTTGGTTAGACCACACCTGGAATATCGTGTCCAATTCTGGGCACCACAATTCAAGAGAGATATTGAAGCTGGAATGTGTCCAGAGGAGAGCGACTAAAATGATCAAGGGTCTGGAGAACAAGCCCTATGAGGAGCAGCTTAAGAAACTGGGCATGTTTAACCTGAAGAAGAGAAGGCTGAGAGGGGATATGATAGCCATGTATAAATATGTGAGAGGAAGCCACAGGGAGGAGGGAGCAAGTTTGTTTTCTGCTTCCCTGGAGACTAGGACGCAATGGAACAATGGCTTCAAACTACAAGAAAGAGGAGATTCCATCTGAACATTAGGAAGAACTTCCTGTGAGAGCCGTTCAGCAGTGGAACTCTCTGCCCCGGAGTGTGGTGGAGGCTCCTTCTTTGGAAGCTTTTAAGCAGAGGCTGGATGGCCATCTGTCAGGGGTGCTTTGAATGCAATATTCCTGCTTCTTGGCAGGGGGTTGGACTGGATGGCCCATGAGGTCTCTTCCAACTCTTTGATTCTATGATTCTATGATTCAGTGGTAGCCCCTCGGCTATGGAACGCCATTCTTAGGGTCATTAGATTAGCCCCCTCCCTTTTAACATTCTGAAAAAAAGTCAAGACTTGGCTTTTTGAGCAAGCATTTGAAAATGCAGGGTAACAGACATAGGAATATGGAACAACTGGATGATGAGATTGGACCATGTTTTAAACAGGAGACTCAAGTGATTTATGTCTCACTGATCTTGTTATGGTTTTATATTATATGTTAATTTTTTAAAATATTTTGAATGATTTTTATTGTGTCTTATTGATCTTATGGTTTTATATTATATGTTAATGTTTTTAAATGTTTTAAATATTTTTTAATATAATCTTTATTAAATTTCCAGTTTATTTAAAATAGAGATATGTAGCCGAAGCTACTAAGAAGTGTAAGTGTGAAGTGTGAATAGTTGATATGACCCCGAAAAGAAAAAGAAAAACAGTGAGATGTGAGAGAGAATAAAGAGAGAGAGAGAGAGAAAGAAAAGAGAGAAAAAACAAAAAAGAAGAAGAAGAAAGAAGTATAGATTTGAAACCTCAAGCCCAGTTTAAAAAAGAGAGAGTAACAGTTGTTTTTGACTTCCTGGGGTCTTCTAGAGATCTGCTCTACCACCTTTCTCAGTATCTGAGAAAGGTGGTAGAACTGTTTCTGAACTAAAAATAGAAAAAAACTCAGATAAAATACTTTTTCTGATAACAACTGCAGCAAGAATCTGCTACGCCAGGAGATGGAAACAAAAGGAAATACCAGATGAAAATGAGAGATTGGCAAAAATTTTGGAAATTATGAACATGGACAGACTTACTTTCTTAATAACAAGAAGCAAAGTAATGAACATGAAAGAAACGAATTGGGAAAAAGTGATGGAATACTTTAAGCAAAGGAATAAAAGGATCCTGATCTAATGAAGGAAGAGAAGGAGGGAAGGAAGAGGAAGAGGAAGAAGATGAGGAGAGAAGAGAAAGAAAAAAATGTTTTAAATATTTTTATGGCGTTGTTGGGCATTGTAATTGTTGCCTTGAGTTGCCTGCAGGCTGAGAAGGGCAGTATACAAATATAGTAAATACTTCCTTGAAGGAAGTATGGGAAACAGACTTGGGGTGTGTGTGTGAATAATCATGAATGGGCAAACATATGGAATATGAGAATACTGAAAAAATATGTCTATAAGAATTAAAGAAAATGACTACAAAATGTTATGGAGGCGGTATCTAACTTCTATTAGATTAAATCAGATTGATAAAAAATATTCAAATCAGTGCTGGAGATGTTGTCAGGAAATAGGGATATATTTTCATATGTGGTGGTCATGTAACATTATACAAAAATTTTGGGAAAGCATATTCAAAGAAATAAGAGCAATAATAAAAATAGAGACTGAGATTACACCAAAATTAGCATTATTACTTATACATGATAATATAATTCCCGTACAAGAGGAGAAAGAATTGGTTTCTAATTTGATAACAGCAGCTAAATTGTTAATAGCAATAAACTGGAAGGAAAAAAAGAAATTCAATTAGAAGAATGGAAGGCAAAAGGAAGAGGGGCCGACCAAGGGCAAGATGGATGGATGGCATCCTTGAAGTGACTGGACTGACCTTGAAGGAGCTGGGGGTGGTGACGGCCGACAGGGAGCTCTGGCGTGGCCTGGTCCATGAGGTCACGAAGAGTCGGAGACGACTGAACAAATGAACAACAACAAAAATAGGGAAATTTGGAATATAGCAATTAATGATAAGCTAACTTGCAATATTAAAATTAAAACTGGAATATGTAAACAAACAGACTTTTGTAAAATATGGGGGAAAATTATCGAGTATGTGTTTAATGAGGGAAAGGGGTATAAGCCAGCAAGAGAAACAATGACATTTTGGAATGGTGAAACAACATGAGTTGGTTCGTCCTGGTGGAGGGGGCACAAACTAAGGGTAAGGGGAAGAGGGAGAAAATGGTATAATAAAAATTATAAAGAAATACAATATGTATAACCGGATAAAAGGTGTGTGATAGAGTTATATGTAGCACAAGTTGTAATGGAAACTTAAAAATAATGATAAGAAATATGATTAAAGAAGTTTTTGATGTTTATTTACTGTTAGATTGTATATAATATGATATACTCTTTTGTCTAAGATACTGTAAAAAGAAAGAAGAATGTATGCTTATACATTTTGTTGGACAAATTTATAAGTAAAATCTAAAAAAAACCAAAAAACAAATATAGTAAATAAATAAATAAATAGTTTCCAAGGAGGACTTCCTATAACTAACACTCTGATACAGTTTATCTACAAGATTCTGTTCCCTCCAAAGGCATCTATATTGCAGTTTACTCAGATATCTAATAAGAAGAAATTGAACAACTGCCACCCATCTTACTCACCACACACTTCTGAAAGTAGTCCTCTGAATTTTTCTTTTGCATCCTTCCAAACTCTGAAGGTTTCCCTGCACAGTAAATTTCATTTGTTATTTTCCTTTACTGACTATGAAACTAAAGGAGGAAATCTGGAAGTCTTGAAAAACAGAACTCAAAGTAGGAATTCTGCTCAAATCTGCCTTGTCCTTTATGTGAAATGCTTGAATGTTGGTAAATGCTTCAAAAAAGTCAATATTCCATTTGTGATAGTCATGTTCCACAGGTAAAACGACTTGATTATAGAGAGGATTATGTTATACATGCCCGCCATATCATTTTTTTAAGTTGAGCTTTTCATAATAAAGAAGTGGTTTGCTTAAAATATTTCAAACCTGCCTGAATATACAGGAATTCAAATTCAGATGTTTGATGAGAGTCCCTGTATCTAAATGGATTACACTGTTCAACGGAGAAAAAGTAGCGGGCCTGAAAATAGTTGTTTTTTATGATTTTGGGGGGCTGAAAACGAAAATGACATTTAAAAATTTATATTGGCTCTAGTTTTTATGATATAAGCAATCACGTCAGGCATGTATGGTTGAAAAAATGCATGTTGCGACTTACACTATGGAAGGGCTTGAGGGGCTTCAACCCCCCCCCCTAAATTCTCATGGTGGTTCGCGAAAAGGCCTTACTGGTGCATTATTTATGTTATGTTTATTCATATCATGATCTGATCACCATACTCAATATATCCCATATGCATGGGGGTATTGGGGTAATGATACAAAAGGTTTGCTAGGCTAGACCCTCTTTCACTCAGACTCAGCCCCCCTGAAACTCAGCCCCCCCCCCGAAACCCCCCCTGAAAATTTTTTAGCCCCCCCCCAAAACGAAATCCTGGCTATGGGCCTGAATCACGTGATCACGTATGGTTGAAAAAATGCATGTTGCGACTTACACTATGGAAGATTCTAGAATACTCTAGAAAGTTTGATGACGCAGTATTAGTGCTGTGTGCAAAAGCCAGAAAGCCCTATATAAGGCCAGACTTTTGAACGGTGAGGGTCAGTCAGTTGAAGACTGAGACAGTATCGTTAAACATCGTTTTACATTGTTCTTTTTACTGTTGTTATGCCTCGCACATGTGTAAATAAAGCACTATGGAAAAAAGATATCAAGGTAAATGGACTCCGTCAATGCTGTCAGACTACTGCTGGAGCATTGTAAGAGACAATCCTTTCCTTGAATACAAAAGAAAAGTCAAGAGAAGCAAACAGGATATAAACTAAAGTCACGATTAAAGCGACATTTAAACTTTCAGACTTTTCAACTGCATTAGGCCTACTAATATAGTTTCTTGCTGCACAAACATAAACAATAGACTAATTAAATAAATATTTCTCATGTATAAACTATTGGCAATATAATTTGACTAAAATTTAGTAAATATTCACGGTTTATATACATGCAGTAAGGTTAGGCGCATTATCATAATATTAACGAATTACCTATTGTGGAGAAAATTGAAATAGCTGTTGCATAAAAACCAGAGCCAATTAACACATTTAATTATTATATTTGAATTCAGCATGTTAAATTTATTAAGAAATGGCACGTTACGTTTCCGCAACTGAGAAAAACTGAAAATTTGTAGAACAGTGTTATAGTTCCTCCACAGGTTCTTTTCCTTCTCAGTATGATTTTGTGTAAATAATGATAAAAAGACATATGGTCCTTCCAGACAGGCCCTATAGCCCAGGATCTGGTTTTTTGCTTTAAACTGGATTATATGAGTCCACATTGACAGATACTCTGGGATAAACGAAAAGCTGGGATCACTCCCTCACTCCCAGCTCAAAAAGAGAAAAGATTAATCTAGTTTAAGATTTTGTTTCCAGTGGACAGCCTGATACTTATGGGCAACTTACCAATGGGTTTGACAAAGAATTGCCCATTTTACCTGCTGCCTCCCAGCTACTGGCATTCACTGTCTCTGAACATGAATGTTCCATTAAGCTTACAAGGCTAATAGCTATTGATAGTCCTGTCTTCTTTCGTGGATTTCTCCAATCCACTTTTAAAGTCATTTACAACATCACCACACCTTCCGGTGGAAAGTTCCAAAATGTAATAAAAGATTATTTGGAAATATATTTCCTTATACTGTGCTGTGGTTTTAGCTTTGAATATGTTTTTAATCAGCTTTTAAGGATTTCAGGATTTTAATTGTTTATATTTACCGTATATACTCAAGTATAAGCCGACCCGAATATAAGTCGCGGCACCTAATTTTACCACCAAAAACTCAAAAACGTTTTGACTCGAGTATAAGCCGAGGGTGAGAAATGTAGCTACTACTGGTAACCAACAGGAGGTTAAATATTTATGAGTATTTACATAAAACTAATTTAAGATAAGACTGCCCAACTCTGATTCAACCAGTATTCTAACCTCATTCAATGTAAATGTGCTTCTTACCTATTACCTATAATGATAGAATAAAATAATAAATGTAAAAACATGTAATAAAAATAATAATAGAGTAAATAATGGAAATTTAATAACAATAGTAATAAATGTAATAATAACAATAATAGCGTAAAATAATAAATGTAATAAATATAATAATACAGTAAAATAATGTAAATGTAATAATAATAATAATAGAGTAAAATAATAAATGTAATAATACAGTAAAATAATGTAAATGTAATAATAATAATAATAATAGAGTAAAATAATAAATGTAATAAAAGTAATAGAGTAAAGTAATGTAAACGTAATAATAATAGAGTAAAATAATAAATATAATAAAAATAATACTAATAGCAGAGTAAAATAATAAATAACCTCGACTCGAGTATAAGCCGAGAGGAATTTTTTCAGCCTCAAAAAGGGGCTGAAAAACTAGGCTTATACTCGAGTATATACAGTAATACCATTGATAGTTTATTTTAATGTTTGCATCTTTTTAGGTTTTAAATTGTATTGCATTGGTTTTACTGTGAGCTGTTTTGAATCTCTTTCGTTGAGAGAGAAAGCAAGATATAAATAAACAATCATAATAATAAAATGAGGTATAAATAAACAAAAACAATACATAAATACATAAATAAATGATCATAATCATCATACTGGACTAGTAATATACTTTCAAGCAGAGTGATATATATATATATATATATATATATATATATATATATATATATAAGTACATGAGCATTGTCACCCGCCTCTAAGGATTAACTGTGACATATCAAACTCTATACATTTCTGATTGATTTTTCTCTCCTGTCAGGACCCTGCCTAACCCCCTTTCCCTATTTTCAGCTTGGATCTTGACCTCAGTCTGCCTTTATTTACATACCTGTTTTTGGTCCCCCCGATGTCTGTTACCTTCAAACTCAACTTGTCCCTGATTCTGACTGTATAACCCAGTGATTCTTGTTTTTCTGCTATAGAACCTGATCTACAATTATTTCGAGAACCACGCCTCTTGCTTTGGCCGCCTCGGACTGGCAACTAACAGTGTCATGAGTCCTGCAATCTTTTGTAGCCTGACACTCTTGCCTTTAGGCAAAAATAAATATTATGAAGACTCTGCTGCTTAGATGTATTGTTTGCCCTGTTTGCCTTCTCCGGTGCTCTGTGGTGCTGCTAATTATATTTTTTGTTAGTTGATATCTTTATTTTTATTATGGTTGCTAGTTCTCTTGAGTGTTGTGTTTGGGACAAAAAGGTGGAATATAGAAGCTGAATGCACAAGATACTTATCAACCTAAATTACAATTCTAAGCCTAAATACAAATATTAGGTCCACCAGACAGAGGGTGGAGTGGTTAGGCCAAAGAGAGCTCCTGCCTTTGCTGTGGAGTTCCCCAGGTTGCTATCCTCTCACCCCTGTTATTTAACGTCTATGTCCGGCCACTTGCTGGACTGGTGTGGAGCTTTGGCATAGAGTGCTACCAGTATGCAGATGATACCCAGCTACTCTTGCGTCTCAAACTTGGGACAACCTCGATTCCTGAGAACTTTAGGCTGTGTTTGGAAGCAGTGATGAATTGGCTGCGAGCGAGCAAACTAAAAGTGAATCCTGCTAAAACTGAGATACTCTGGCCCGGCCAGCCGCCAGAATTAATCCAGTCTCTGCCTGATTTCGATGGGGAAGCTCTGGTTCCGTCTGCCACTGTTAAAAGCCTTGGGGTTGTGTTGGACTCATCGCTGACAATGGAGGCCCAGATCACTGCCATAAGTAAGCAGGCCTTTTTTCATCTTCGCCAGGCAAGGAAATTGGCATTCTACCTTTCGGTAGAAGCATTGGCAACAGTAATCCACGCAACAGTCACCACGAGGTTGGACTATTGCAACGCCTTATATGCCGGCCTTCCGAAGTCAACAACCCAGAAGATACAGATGGTCCAAAATGCGGCAGCCAGGCTGCTAGCGGGATCATCTATAAGATCCCATATTACACCGATTTTGCAACAACTGCATTGGCTACCAATAGAACATCGGATCTCTTACAAGATACTGATCCTGACATTTAGAGCTCAAAATGGCCAAGGACCTTTATATCTTAGGGACCGCCTCATTCCTTTTCTCCATCATGGTCACCTCGATCCACCCAGGAAAATCTCCTATACATACCGGGCCCTAGGGAGGTACACCTGGAAGCTACAAGGCGTAGAGCTTTTTTGACCTATGCTCCAATTCTGTGGAACTCATTGCCTCCATACATTAGAGCAATGTCAGAGTTGCGACCTTTTGTAAAGGCACTCAAGACTTGGCTGTTTGGTTGTGCATTTAAGTAATCAGATATAATTTGCCAAATAGTCACTGTTGAATGTTTTTATGTTGAATGTTTTTATATTGTGTAAATGCTATTTTAGAATGTAAGTCGCTCGGAGCACCTTGGTGGAGAGCGACTAATTAAGAAATAAAGTGAAGTGAAGTGGTAGTAGGGCCAATGAATCAGTGGGAACCTGATAGATCAAGACTTCCAGAAGTTCTATTGATTCAATGTGTTTAATGTGGCTATTGGTTTTAGACCATGTTTGGTGTGAAACCAGCATGAAAGGAAAAGGTTTTGGTGTGTG